AGAGAGAGAGAGAGAGGAAAAAAGAAAATGTTGAAACAATTCAAATAATACAAAATCGGCGAGCCTGCAAAGCTCGAACGACAAACCCGGAAATTACAGGTTTCGAGATCAGCGGAAACCGCGAATTAATCCCACGGGGACTCGAGCAGAATCTGGGACGAATCCTTCAATTAAGAGGACCTCTTCAATTAAGAGTAAAATTTTTACAGAATTTTCAACGAAAGTTCGAAAATATATCATCTCTACGAATATGACACACATCGACGAAAATAAACAGATTGATCTTTTTATCTTTATTCGCATATCGGAAAGAAAAACTTATATGCCTTGTTTTCAATTCTCACTTATTCGTGTATAGAATAGGTATAAATAAATTTGCAGAAGATCAGTTTCTTAATTTTTTTTTTTTCAGTGGCGTTTCGTTAAGAAAAAAGTGGAGGTATATATAATGACAATGACAAATTGTCCAACGATATCCAAAGAAATTGAGATCCATATTTCTTATCATTTTTAAGGATACAAAATCGAATGTATATTTCGTTAAAGAAATGACAAAACTTGCCTCCTCGACCTATGAAAACTCGACAATCTCTAACACTTATTAACTCAACAATTCTATACCCCCTTACGTTTGCAATCATCGTCTCAGAGGTAAAATTCCCTTTGTCTGAAAAAAAAAAAAAGAAAATTAAAAAGAGCTCAGAGTCAACCCAGGTGTCGGCCATTTTCATTTTCACAATCTAATTATCCTCGAAACGAAGTTCTCGGTGTGTCTGATGGAGGAGGAAACAGTCTCTGGAACCCTTATGGTGGCGCAAACATCCCCCTACAAGGGATTTCCATTTTCTTTCGAATCCGATTAAAGGCCTCCTCGTATCGAATAAATAAACAGGAAATTGATTTACGTCCGAAGGCGACACTTTCTTCTCCAAGTCAATAATCTGTCGGAGAAACCAGAAGCCGGCTTCTGATTAATTTCTCTTTTAAACTGGAAATTTCGATATCCTCGATACCGATAACCACGTTAACCACCGATAGCACAGTGGATAGAGGGAGGGACGTGAATTCGATTCGTTTTTAAAGAAAACAATTTTTTTTCACCTCCTTTCCCGCGATTCTATCCTTTTTTTTTTTAAGAAATTTCGTTAAATTAGTTTTCCATGATAAATTTTCGAAAAAAAAAAAAAAAAATTCAAAACATCTTCCATTAGATTCACAAAATTGATTCTCAATTTTCTTCGATAAAACGAACACGATGGATAATAATAATAATAATAATAATAACAAAGATTCTTTTCTCATGCCCATGCCAATAATATCGTAATACAATTTTCTCACCTCCCCTCCCCTCTCCCCCCCCCCTCCACAAGAAAATTGTACAAATTGCCCCCTCGAATCAAGTTGAAAAGTAATTTTCAATTTTACTTCGAGCAGTTGCCGGGCAAAGAGGGATAATCTCGCTTGGAGCAAATACCGGCTCGAAATTGGGAGAAATTAACTTTATTTGCGTGGAACGTAGGTCAAAGTTCATTCCTTGTGAAAAACGGGATAAAACGCGTCGCGACTTCTGATTGGCCAGTGTCAAGGTTCGAACGGTTAACTGGGGTAATTGGTTACACGCCGTGTATGTGCGCGAGTGTGTGTGTAAAACGTTCGTTTCCGCGTCTTCTTCCAGATGGTGCTAGCGGTTTACAGGAGAGCTGAGCTAAGCGTCACGTGACTAATTAATTTGTATAACCTATACACGCCGGTGGACAATTCATCTCGGCCGTTGCCACGGGAAATATTAATTCCCCTCCTCGAAACGAGGCTGATCGTGAACGAACAATTTCACGAGTTAATCGTTCGACTCGAGCTCGCAACCTCGAGTTACGGGAAAAGGAAATTCCACCTTTTGTTTCGTTGTCGATGGAAAAATTGATACTTTTTAGGTTAGATGCGTGATGTACGTCAGAATGGAGATAGAACGGAACAGGGTATAATATTTTATAGGGAAGAGTAAGTGGAAAACGAGCGGAATGCAATTTTTTCGAAGTTTCGTTTTCTAGAAAATAGCTGGTTTAAAGATTCATGGAAAAAACAGGTGCCAACTACGCCAAGTATTCTATATTGGATGTGTTCGATATAGCTGACGGAATATCGATGACTTTTTCAAATTCGATTTTCTTCAAGGCAAATTGTTGAATGAAAAAAAATTTTATTCTTACTGGTTTTTTTTTCCTTGTTTCTGCTTCTGTGGAATAATTATATCATCCTTGGTGATTATTTACATCTCGTAGAACGAAGGATACTTTTTTAAGAATATTTCTCGAAAGGGGTTCCAAATGGGGAGAAAATTAGATCGAATCTTTTTAAATTGTACCAACGTGTGCCACGACTTTTATAGAAAAATATTTTCTCCCTTCCCACAAAATCTGTGAAACTTTAGAAATATCTATAAAATATTTGAAAGAGTTAGTTTCTTTAAAGAACAGAGTGAAAAAAAGTTTGTTTGGATAATAATAACATTATAACGCGAAAGCATAAAATTCTTTCGAAGCACATTATCTCATTATCTTTTCCAATTACCTTTCGCTTCAATAACACATTTTAAAATTATT